CGATAGACCGTGTTAACAGTTTTAAAAGCCTGCGGTGGTATGTTCTCTTACATGCGATTTAGGCTTTGTAGGCCTATCCGAGACGCGATGCACTGCTTGTTGTGCGAAACACGTCGGCATTGTGGACCATGTTTAAGACCGCCTACCCTCGTCCTAAGCTCCTTTTGCTCGTATTTGCGAGAAAGTTCACGCTACTAAGCCTTGCATAACGTCGCAGGAAGAGCTTTTGCAAGAGGGATCACATGCTGCGGTTTCATCTCTTGCACTTGTGAGTAATTATGGTCAGGGACCCCCACTTTCAGGCGCCGTTTAGACGTCTGTCTGTAGGAATGCGAGTATTCTTGAGAAACTGAATCCGAGCTAGGGAGAGGGAGGCTCTTCTGGTGCGAAACGTAGGTAAAGTTACCAGGAGAGGGAGGGAGAGGGAGAGGAAGAGGGAGGTGAGAGAGAGAGAGAGAGAGAGAGAGAGAGAGAGAGAGAGAGAGAGAGAGAGAGAGAGAGAGAGAGAGAGAGAGAGAGAGAGAGAGAGAGAGAGAGGAGGTGAGAGAGAGAGAGAGAGAGGAGGTGAGAGAGAGAGAGAGAGAGAGGAGGTGAGAGAGAGAGAGAGAGAGGAGGTGAGAGAGAGAGAGAGAGAGAGAGGTGAGAGAGAGAGAGAGAGAGAGAGAGAGAGAGAGAGAGAGGGTGGATAGAAGGACGGATGGAGAGATTGATTGATTGATAACACGTACAATTTTTATTAGGGTTCGTTATAGAGAAGACTATCCCATAATCGTACTTCCCCAACGTAAGAAAATGACAAGCGAAACTCGTCCGTATTAGGCAAGATCAAATTCTCGAGCAAATGAAAATGAAAAGTCAGTGTTTATAGTCTGCAATTAGTTCAGTCCTGTTCTTGTTGACTCTAACCCAGGGAAACTGACCCAGGAGACACAGCTGCTCGCCAGACGCCCCCGGCAAAAGTTGTCTCCCTATATCGGCTCTTTGTCACGCCCATAATCACTGCCAACATTTGTGCGTTCGTGTTTAACTCTGCCTGTCTGTCTGCCTCGCCATTTCGGTTTGCTTGCCTCCAGTCCACACCTGCCGCCGCCATCTGTGCCAGCGCCTCTTTAGCATTCTGGGAAGTGTTTCAAGGAAGGCGTTTGTAATTTTTCGTCGTGAAGTTGTGTGAAGTGGTGGGTTTAGGGGTGGTGTTGAATAGATAGATAAATAGATAGATGTGTGTTTTTGTTCTTGAAGCTATACTGTATATCATATGTTAAATATTATGTAATGTATGAGTAAAAGGCAACGGAAACATTCAGAATGGATACATTTGAATTAAACTAACTACTCAGCTTCAGTTTTTACCACTGTAAAATGGGTTATTTATTTTAGATGTAATCTCATGTAGTATATATATGTTCATCATTAATACTCTCGGATCGTGTAAATATTCGTAGTTGTGAGTACGATTAAAACACTAAAAGATCTTGTTTTATTGAAAAGAAAGAACGAATTCATTATAACAAAAAGTAGTATTCTCGCCATTTGGTCGTGGTTAGGCCTATGTATAATCCACAAAATAGATTAGTAAATAGAAGGCAAAATAGATGGATAGACAAATAAGAGGCAGTTCATCAATAGATATGCATTTCGTCCATTTAAATAAACGGATGAGGTAAACAGATCAGTAACGAAGAGACAAAAAACCATCAATCCCCCAGGCCTTCAGCACCCGGAGGTCGAGGGCGCGAGAGAGATTTGTGACCCGCGCGCCATTCCGCCCGTCACAACATCCTCCGGCGGGACTCCCTCGAAATGCCCGTCTGGGGCCTCGCGGCTTTGCGCTTGGTTTGGGTTTTGTGTGGGTTTGGTTTTACCTTTTATTCGGAGGGGGGGGGGGGGGGGTTGGTGTCGCCGCTTTGCTCCCGGTCTAGGGTTTAATTTTTTTTTTCCTGTTTTGCTCCAGGTTTAGGTTTTATGTGGTTTTGGTTGTCTCTTTTTCGTTTTTTTTTCCTGCTTTCCAGGTTTAGGTTTACTTTTTTTCGGGGGTTTTGGTCGAGCCGATTTTCTCCTGCTTTAGTTTTTATGTGGTTTTAGTTTTACCTTTTTTCGGAGGTTTAGGTCTCGCCACTTTGCTCCTGGTCTAGGTTTTATGTGGTTTTGTGTTTATTATTTTTTTATGGGGGTTGTTTATTTATTTAGTTTTCATTTTCTGGGTCCAGTGTTTGTTTATTTTGAAGTTACCATATATGCTAGGATTATTGGTGTTGTTGTGCACGTGTGGAACGGATATTTTGCAGTCATTCGTATTACAGATTTTAGTTTCTTTATTTCCTCATATTTGTTTTTCTTGTCAGGCACCATATATACCTTCAGCAAAAGAAAATGAAAAAAATAGATTTAGATACATTTTATTTTCGTTTTTCTGCTTCTAGTATTCCCAAGCAAGCTGAGTTGTTGAGATTTTCTCTCTCTCTCTCTCTCTCTCTCTCTCTCTCTCTATCTCTCTCTCTCTCTCTCTCTCTCTCTCTCTCTCTCTCTCTCTCTCTCTCTCTCTCTCTCTCTCTCTCTCTCTCTCTCTCTCTCTCTCTCTCTCTCTCTCTCTCTCTCTCTCTCTCTCTCTCTCTCTCTCTCTCTCTCTCTCTCTCTCTCTCTCTCCCTCCCTCCCTCCCTCCCTCCCTCCCTCCCTCCCTCCCACCCTCTCCCTCTTTCCTTTTCTCTGTATCTCTCTATTTCCCCCTCTCTCTCTATTTCCTTCTCTCTCTCTATTTCCCTCTCTCTCTATTTCCCTCTCTCTCTATTTCCCTCTCTCTCTCTGTTTCCCTTTCTCTATTTCTCTCTCTCTCTATTTCTTTCTCTCTCTCTTTTTCTTTCTCTCTATTTCTTTCTCTCTCTCTCTATTTCTTTCTCTCTCTATTTCTTTCTCTCTCTCTCTATTTTTCTCTCTCTATATATATTTCTCTCTCTCTCTCTCTCTCTCTCTCTCTCTCTCTCTCTCTCTCTCTCTCTCTCTCTCTCTCTCTCTCTCTCTCTCTCTCTCTCTCTCTCCTTCTCCTTCACATCCTCCCTCATTTACCTTCCCTCCCCACAGCATACCTGTCTTTCGCTTCCCCTCTCTCTCCCTTTTTTTCTCTCTCTCATCCCCTCTTCCCTTCGGCCTCCGCCCCTGTCACTGTCACCCTTCCCCGTCAGCTGGGCGAGCAGGCTGGTCACGTTCTCGCCCGCCCGATGACATCAGTGCCTGTCGAAGGGTCGGGAAAAGTACGTTGGCACTTGTCATGGAGGCGGCCTCAGTGCCTGACTGCTACCAGTACAGAGGGCTTTGTGTTGAACCAGGAAAAAAAGAAAGAAACGTAAATGCGTGGAAGAAAATTGAAAAAGCTCAGAGAGGAAGAGCATCTCTGTGTAATTCTGTGTAAGATTTGGGTGTAATGTGATGGGTGTTCATAAAAGTACATGAGTGATATTATGTAGGCTTATGCTTATTTGAATTATGAGTGATGTGCATAGTGAGAAAATCTACTGTATAATAAGTTAGAGCTTGTAAATATTGTAATTAATGTGCAATTATGCAATTAAGATGGTGGCACACACACACACGCGCGAATGTATATGTATATTTATATGTACACACACACACACACACACACACACACACACACACACACACACACACACACACACACACACACACACACACACACACACACACACACACACATATATATATGTATGTGTGTGTGTATATATATACTTCCGAGAAAAACTTAGATCAAACAAGTCATGAGATATGTTAATAAGTGAATAGATGCTAGGATGAAGGACCCCCCCCCCCGCCTCGACGCGGGCGACGTAGAAGACGATCTGTATATTGTGAAAGGGATTATTCACAGCGTCTTGATGACAGTGCTGGGCGGAACGGACTTTGCTTAATGGCCGTGTTTGTTTGTACTGCTGTTTGTATGTGTGTGTGTGTGTGTGTATGTATGTGTGTGTGTGTGTGCGTGTCTGTATGTGTATGTGTGTGCGTGTGCGTGTGCGTGTGTGTGCGTGTGCATGTGTATGTGTATGTGTGTATGTATGTATGTATGTATGTATGTATGTATGTATGTATGTTTACTTTCACTGTGTGTTGGTGCGCTGATATTTTTGTGTTGTATATTTTGTTTTCCGTTGTTTTTGTTTATTTTTCTTTCTGTCTCTCCGTTTCGTCTTTATTTTGCAAGGGAGCAGGCCTATTGGGAGACGCCTGTAATTCCCTTTTATTTTGTTGTCTGGCGAATTTTTGTTTTTTTCTGTAATCTTCACCTTTTTTGTACTTGTCAGTGTTGGTAATATTATTTTCATTGTTATTGCTATTGTTATTATCATCATCATCATCATCATCATAACCATCATCATCATCATCATCATCAATCATCATCATCATCATCATCATCATCATCATCATCATCATCATCAATCATTATCATCATCATCATCATCAATCATCATCATCATCATCAATCATTATTATCATCATCATCATCATAACCATCATCATCATCATCAATCATCATCATCATCATCATCATCAGTCATCATCATCATCATCATCAATCATTATCATCATCATCATCATCATCAATCATCATCATCATCATCATCATCAATCATTATTATCATCATCATCAATCATCATCAATCATCATCATCATCATCATCATCATCATCATCATCATCATCATCACCATCACCAACGCCATCGACTGTTATACAATATTTACCATTGCATATGTTTCTTTTCCTATTTTTGCCCTTACTTTATAACCACAACCATTTTCATTCATATAACAATAATTTTATAATATTAACTTCATTTTTTTTCTTAAGAGAACCATCCAGGTGTAAGCCAACATTATATAGTGAATTTATTTATTGTTTTTCTTAAGTCGAAGTTATATGGCGTATTTTAACTATTTTTTATTCTCAAGAGAACCACCCCACCCAACCTCTCCTCTTCTTCTTCCTTGCAGGTGGTGAGGGCGCGCGGGCGTGGGCGGGAGCGTGGGAGAATATGGTCTCCGGCAGCTCCACCACGGCTAGTCACGAGGGTCCGGAACCAGAGGTGAGTGTGGTGGCGATTCGCATGAAGGGAGGGAGGGAAGGGAGGGAAGGGAGGGAGGGAGGGAGGGAGGGAGGTAAGGGGAGGGAGGGAGGAAGGGAGGGAGGGAGGGAGGGAAGGAAGGGAGGGAGGGTGGGAGGAGGAGGAAAGGAGGGAGGGAAGGGAGGGAGGGAGGGGGGGGGGGAGGGAGGGAGGGAGGGAAGGGGAGGAAGGAGGGAGGGAGGAAGGGAGGGAAAGAAAGGTTGGGAGAACGGAAAGGGAGAACAGGATTGAGGAAGGGAGTGAGGGATGGAATGGGATGGGAAGGGACGGGATAGGAGGGGAGGGGAGGGGAGGGAGGGGAAAGGAAGGGAAGGGAAGGGAGGAAAATGAAATAAAATAAAAAATAAAAGAAAGGAAAGGAAAAGAAGACAGAAGGGAATATGGGTTTTGTATGTGTCACTTACTGTGTGACGTCATTAGGGTGGGAATGGCGTGCAAGGGAGTGCATTGTGTATGATTGTTATGCAATCTATTTACATTACTACCATTGTTGGTATTATTAATATTAATAGCTATAGTGCAAATACCACTAATTATGCTGCTGCGGGCAATGGGAATGAAAATTTATAGGAATAATAAGAGAAACGGGAAAATTAGGATGATGACAATATGGTAATGAGAGTAATATAACGTTAATGATAACGGTATTGATAGTGATGAAAGATTATCATTAATTTGGGCGTAGGAGGAGCAAGAATGCCGATGATGGAAGTAATAACACCGATGATGATGATAAGGTGTTGATGGCATTGATGATGTTGCTCTTGTTTTAAGGATGTAGCTAATGGTGTTATTGATAGGATTTACTATACTGATATTTTAAGGATGTTACTGCTAATGGTAAATGGTGATAGTAATAATAGTAGTAGTAATAATAACGGTAATTGATATCGTTATCATTGTGATCAGTAACAGTATTATTATTGTTATTGTTATTGATTGTTTTGTTATTAGCTTTAGGGCTATATATTTTCTTAGATGATTGATATGATTTTTATAGTTATTTTATCATTATATTGATCTGTTACATAGCAAGTACATCAGTAATACTGATAATAATTATGATAACAATGATGATGATAATGATAATAATAATGGTAATAATAATGATAATGATAGAATAATGATAATGATAATAATAATGATAATGATAATGATAATAATGACAATAATGAGGAAAATAATAATAATAATAATGATGACAAGGATAATAATAATGATGATAATGATTTGGATAACAATGATGATAATAATGATAAGAATAATGGTAATCATAATAATAATAATAATAGTAATAATAATAATAATAATAATAATAATAATAATAATAATAATAATATTTATAATGGTATTGGTAATGATAATAGTAATACTACTAATAGTGATGATAATTATGATAATAGTAATTATGATACAAATGATAATAATGATACTCATAACAACAACAACAACAACAACAACAACAGTATTAATCATCACGAATGTTGGTCTCATCAAGAACATTAAAAAAGAATCGCTGCGCATCGTTTGCGTTCTTCCTCCTCCCCGCCCTACCCCACTCCCCCCCTTCCCCTCAAGAATAATATCACATCTTTCAAGGTCACTGCAGCAAGCGACAGAAGCTGCTAATAAAAACCCATCATTAGTATTATCATATTTTAGTGCAGTTGTAAATTAGTCCTCGTGGCGCATGTACGTAGACCCTGGGCGTGCGGCTCGTATCCCCCGAGTGCCTGAGGTCTTTGTACAAGAATATGGACTTTGTAAAGACCTTGGGCGAGCGTGTGTACGAGGGCGGGAGCGTCGCGCTGCGGGTCCTTGCGCGAAATATGCAAACGAGAGGAGTGGGGTGGCGTGCGACACAGCGTCCCCCGTGCAGCAGGCGGCGAGGGAGAGCACCTGCTGCGTCGCCGGCCGGAAAAAGAATTTCACTGCACTTTTTATTTGATTTGGCTTGATAAAAGCGCATTTGGGGGAGGGTCTACTTCGTTGTTTTATCGTTCGTTTTTTGCTTGTTTTATTTTTTTTATTTTTTATTTTGGTAGAGCGTTGAAATAGAAAAATGTGAGTGCGCGCGTGTGTATCTATGTGGATAGCATGTATTCAAGCTCCCGTGTGTGTTTGCGAGGGTACATGCTTTGATATCCGGTAAAAAAAAAGAAGAAGAGATTTGCAATTGCCTTAGCATTACGGCGAGGGAACCAAATCTAAAACCCGCAACTTAGGAAACAGAATTTAAAAGCCAACGCGAGGATTTTTGTGCATGAAAAATTCATCTCCCTTCTTGTATTAGTATTCTGCGACGCGAGAAAAGTTTGGGAGGACTCACGGCAAGCCCTTCAAAAATGTCGGTGTTCTGGACATTCTCTTTCGGGAGTTTTCCGCCGCGAGGTGATACTGCGAGGTTATTGCGCGGGAGAGCAACGCGAATTTGCATTATTTTTCAGAGGGAATGGGGAGGGAGAGTGGCCAAAGGGGGGGGGGGGGCGTTGGGGTGAGCGAGAGGGAGTGGGATTGAGGAGAGGGAGAGGGAGTGGGGGGTAAGGAAGAGTGGGAAATGGGAGAGGGAGAAGGAGAGGAGTGGGTGAGGGAAAAGGAAAGAGAGTGGGAATATGATAAAAGAGAGAGAGGGGAAATCGAAAGAAGGAGAGGGAATGGGAATAAGGAAAGGCGAGGAGGGGGGGGAGGGTGCGAGTGGGATGGAAGGAGAGGAGCGGAGAGACAGGGAGTCAAAACTCGGGGTATATTTTTCTTCTTTATTGGCATTAAACGTCTCAGTCCACTCGTCACGGCTATTCTACGTTGTCGCCAACGATCTCATTTGCATAAAGCAGCACAAACCAGATATTAAGAAGATGGTATGAATGGCTAAGCAGGAGACAGAGGGATGGAGAGGGAGAGGTTGGGGGGGGGTAGGGAGAGAGAGAGAGAGAGAGAGAGAGAGAGAGAGAGAGAGAGAGAGAGAGAGAGAGAGAGAGAGAGAGAGAGAGAGAGAGAGAGAGAGAGAGAGAGAGAAAGAAAGAGGAGGGGAGAGAGAGAGAGAGAGAGAGAGAGAGAGAGAGAGAGAGAGAGAGAGAGAGAGAGAGAGAGAGAGAGAGAGAGAGAGAGAGAGATGGGGGGGGGGTGGAGAAAGGGTGGGAGGGAGGGAGGGAAGGGGAAACCAGAGGGAGGCGAGAGGGAGGGAGTGGGCAGGCAAGAGGTTTGGAGAAGGCCTACACTAAAAAAAAACAAAAAAACTGATAGATTGGAAGCCCTAGAAGTGGAGGAGGAAGACGAAGAAGGAAAGCCCAGATCGAACGGTTGTTGGGAGTAAGGAGGGAGAAGAAGAAGGAGAAGGCAAGACGAAAGGAGAGACGATAGGGCTAATAATAGTAGGAGAGTTAAAAGGAGAAGAGTTTTTTTTTTAAGATTTGTCGAGGAGGAAAGAAAAGGAAGGGGATAAAAAAGAGAATAGAATAGAATGAAATGGATAGGCATCGCTGGGGAAACACTCGTCGGAGGGATCGGTGGAGAGGAAACCAAAACAGGGATTTTGACTTTGGTAAGATTATATGGGGAGTGCTAGGGGGGTGGGGGTGGGGGGGGGTAAGGAGGGAATGAGGGAATGAGGGTGTCGCATGACAGGAAAAGGGAGATAAGCATTCGGGGGCTGACTAGGCGTGACAACACCGCAGCGGGAGGATGTCACGGTGCTAGTTGACAGCTTATTTCTTGACAAGTAACATATTTCAGGTCTCAGGGGCGGTTAAGAATAGGCTCCTTTATCGTTAATAGGTCGTTTAAGAAGGTTCCTGTCAGTAGAAGACGTCTGGCTGGACGTGAGAGGAGGTGAATGACGAAGGACGAGGGTGCCAAGTGGAGGGGGGGGAGTGGACCAAGCAGGTGCCAAGGAATATGCCGCGAATCTTCAGTGATTTCAAATCCGCAGTGAATGGACACCGATCGACGCCAGAAGACCCCCCCCTCCTCTTCCGCACAGGAGGAGCGTCCCCCCGCCTCTGTCCCAGTGACGTAGATGGCGCCGGGCTCTCTAAACAAGTTGGGGTGGAGGAGACGGTGCCAGTGCCGCCCTACTGTTTACCCGCCAGACGCGGCACCGGTCGGCACAGTGCCAGCCCCGGCAGTGCCCCTCGAGCGTCCTTTGCCCTCGGCTCTCCCTCTTCCTCCATGCTCCCGCCTTCTCCTTCTCCACCCCCTCTCTCTCCTTGTCTGCGTCTCCATTCAAGTCACCATCAACTTTCCCTTCTCCGTCCTCCCTTCCCTTTTCCCTGTCTTCCACTTCGTTTCCTTGTTATTTCCCCTCCTCTTCCCCTTTCTCGTCCCTTCCCCTTCCCCTTCCCTTTTCCTTTCCCCTTCCCTTCCCCTTCCTCATCCCCTTCCCCATCCTATTTCCCTTTCCCTTACCCATCCACTTGCCCTTCCCTTTCCCCATCCCCTTTCCTTTCCTTTGCCTTTCTTTTCTCCTCTTCTCCGCTTTCCTTCAGTCGGCATACCAGCTGCCATTGTCTTAAGCCATCCCACAGGTGCAGGGGACGTTAACGTTACGAAAAGGAAGTGTGTGTGTGTGTGTGTGTGCGTGTGCGTGTGCGTGTGTGTGTGTGTGTGTGTGTGTGTGTGTGTGTGTGTGTGTGTGTGTGTGTGTGTGTGTGTGTGTGTGTGTGTGTGTGTGTGTGTGTGTGTGTGTGTGTGTGTGCGTGTGTATGTGTGTTTGTGTGTTTATGTATGTGTCAGTGTTTGTGTTTATGTATGTATTAGTGTCTGTCTGCGTGTGCATGGCTGTGTATCTACTATAGAGAGAGTGAAGGCGCCAGTGCGAAGCGCATGCGCACAGATATTCACACTCACCGGGGTCGGCCGATCTCATGTCTTCTGCACGCGGACTTTGTGCTTTATTATGATTGCGGGATTTTGCTTTCGCTGGCAGTTTTATGCCCCGGAGGCTGGGTTATTGCTCGCTGCTT